TTATTTGTATTGTACTACATACAGTGGATAAACACATACATGTAGGTGCCATCAGATGAGACATTCAGTTTCTTATTGTGGCTTCTTGTTAAGATTGAAATATTTAAGACAACCACTCACAGTAATGTTTCAAATACATGTAGTATGAAAAAKTGTTTTGGCCTCTAAGTAGAATAGGTAACAACAATATTCCTTTGCTTGCTTTAAGTAGTTGAATAAAGACTGAATTGATCATGTTAAGTTCATTATAATTTCCACTTTTGTGTGCAAATGAGAAACACATGAAAAAAATTAACATACAGTCAGATAGATAAGCCAAGCTCCTTTCCTGTTTCAGGCAAACCAAGCAGTGATCTCAACATTTATTCACTAAAAAAATATGAAAACAAAGAACCAAAATTTTTCATGTGATCTTACCATGTTAGTGCCTGGCAATCACCTGTAGAAAGACTTCTACAGAGTCCCAGCTTAAAATAGGTGAGCCTTTTGTCTGCTCTAAAGAACTAAAGTTTCAAAATTATTGTCATCTGGTTACAAATTAGGATATTATCAATCAAAATATAGACTTGTTCATGTGTAATTACATTACCATTTTAGTGCTCATTAACACTTGAGGACAAACTTCCCACAGAGTCACAACTTGAAAAGCCGAGTTCTGTAATGTATGCGGCCGATACCGGCCAGCGGTTTATATTTGTATCGCATGCCTACAAGGTCAGAAATAAACAACATGGCTTCAGTATGTTACAAGTTCCTCTGCTGTTTCAGGTAGGCCAAACAGTGATATGAACAGTTTTTCGTGCTCGAAAAACTAATTTCAAAAATGGTTCAAGTAAAATTAATAACATTTTAGTGCCCAAGAAACACCTGAGGATAAATTTCCCACAGAGTCTCAGCTTGAAAAGCCAGGTTCTCTGCTGTTTCCGGCAGGCCAAACAGTGATACTAACAGTCTTTTACTCAACACAAATTAAATTCAATAATGGCTCATGGGGAATTAATAACACTTTAGTGCCCAAGAAACACCTGGGGATAAATTTCCCACAGAGTCACAGCCTGAAAAGCTAGTTTCCTCTGCTGTTTCGAGCAGGCCAAATAGTGATACCAACAATCTTTTACTTACTGCAAACTAATTCCTATAATTAGTTTGAAAGGGAAAATTTACCATTTTAGTGCCCAAGGAACACAGAGCTGCAGTTTGAAAAGCACAGTTCCTCTGCTGTTCCAGGCATGTCAAACACTTACCAAAGTTTCCAGATCAAATATTTTGTTCCCAAAAAGGACCTGGAGATGTCATTTCTCACAGAGTCACAGCTTAAAAAAGCCAAGTTTCTCTGTTACTTCAGGAAGGCCAGACAGTAACTGAAATTGAAAAGGACAATTATTAACACTGACAGTGAATTATTTGAATGGTGCAAAAGTAGTAGCTACATGTAGTGGCCCATTCCATATAAAAGAAAAAAAAAACCCAAAAAGAAGCCCAATTAATGATCTGAATCATTAACTGCTCTCTGTCAACCGTTCAAGAGTTGACTTGCTCAAGTTATCTTTTGGATCAGACTGTTACGATGTTGTGTGACACGCCATGTGCTACTTGCCGTATTTGGGCATTACCTTATTTGGTGATTAAAGAAAATACACTTCTACACTCTCAATCGCCTCCTAGATGTTGAAACACAGACATAATTTCTTGATTAAAGTTTTGACTTCAAATAGTATCCACATGTATCCATCCAAAGAGGAAGAATGGTATCTCAAATGCTAAAATTTGAATAGGAACAAAGTGGATATTCCAAGGGGTAGGTGGCCCACACCAAAAACCTTCTGAAGGTGATGCCTGTCTTCTAGAAACATTGACACTGCTTAGCCCCAAATTTTGTTTGTTTTGTTTCTTTTTTCTTTTTTTTGGAAAATAATGTTCAAATTACCCTTAATGCATGACGTAGCAAACAGAAATCAATACTGAGTCCATGCCCAGCTAGCACAAAATTTTCTTCATTGACTTTTTCAAGAAGCATGTATAGTCAAATGTAAGTAAGATAAAAATAAAAGTAAACTGATAATTTACAAAAATTAATTTTAATAAAATATGACCTAGACCTGAAAGGGTTAATTAAAAGTTATTTTTTATGTAAAGCATAATGCAATCTGAAATGCAACTTTTAAAGTTAGCTTTGTAATCAGTTTGCCATCAGCAGTGAAGCCTTCTTCTTTCAGAACTTTACTCCCCTCATTTAGCCAAACAATCAACTTCTTCACTTTGCTCCTGAGAAAAGTAAAAAAAAAAAATCTGAGAGGAAGTCTACGTTTGAGTTTGGGTAATCAATTAACAGTTACCCATTACCTGTGATAGGGAATGATAAAGAAGTTATCCACAGTATAGTAAAATCAAACTCTACTAACTTTTTCTCGGGATAATTACCAATCGCAATTGGATAAACAGCCAGAGCTAGCACTCTATTAAGAACCACAGAGCCCTTTGCCAGTTGTGATAGCTAAATCAATTGGAACAATTCCAGCAGACACTTTTTCTCTCCCTGCAGTACAAACAAACAGTGTTATCATTATCAGCAGCAGCATCATGCAGTGCATGTGTGTGCACAAATTGAAAATGGAATTAAATGTTTATCTTAGATTCAGCCAGTTAGATAACCCAAAAATTTTCCTTACCTGCAAGAGGTCTTCCAGCTCGTTTCATGAATAACCGAGGTCCTATCGATTTATCCAACTTCTGCAGATCTTTAAGCGGTCGCTTTATATCTGAAAAAGAGACAGGCGCGACCAGGCGTAGATAAAGGCGTCTCCAATCCAAGCGATCCAAGCTGTCTTTAGCTGCCGCGAAAATTCGATCTTCCCGCCATTTCCGAGTCAAACTGGTGAGAATTTAATAATTCCCTTACCAACCTAAGTTGATCTGAAACAACCACTAGCTATTCAACGAGATTTTTTCATCGTAATGCTCTTCAAATTATTCTGAAGAGGGCTGAAACAATAACAGTGTCTTTCTTTCGCGACAAACCAAACCACGATGGGTCGACTTGTCCACCATTTCCATCGACCAGATCGCGGACGCATACTTCTGCAATGTCCTCAATCGCTCCTCATGAACTCTCTTGATTTACAAAACCATTCGTTTGATACAGTGTACCAAATTTTTCCTGGATCGAACGACAGCCCGAAAATTCGGCGAAGAGGATATAGCTTCGCCACCATATGTCGTTTGCTCCATAGTATTTTGTATTACGCACGACGAGGCACTTTGTTATATATTAAGTGCAATTAGAGTCGACAACAAACCATTTATAGATACATGATCTGGTTTTCATTTGTACAGCGCATCAAGATATACTTAACACCTTCATCTGCCTCAAACTGTGCAGACAGATCTTTAATTTTGCTAATTCGATTTTCTTGACTACCCCGGAAATTAGAACCGATACCCAGCTGTGAATTTCAAAGTCGCATAAAGCTCGTCAGTACGGTCATTGCAGTGAAGCAAGCCTCACAAATTACATCGTCCGCCCTTCGAATAAACAATTAAGACAGTGGCGGATCCAGGGGGAGGGTCCGGGGGGTCCGGACCCCCTATCAGACCTGACGCTTACAACTTTGAGACTGAAATTCTTACATCGACAGGATCGTATATCACTTTTTAACTGGCTGATTATTTAAATTAATGAATCCAAGTAAACGGTCAGCAGCCAAGGAATTATAACGTGCAACCGCGACTGGTGGGAGGGGTGTGGGGGGTGTTTGGAAGAAGTAATTCGCCTCAAAAGAGTCCAACAGTCCTTTCTGAGCCAAAGTTTGGCCCGCCCCAATCAAAACTTCCTGGATCCGCCCCTGTAAGAGCTTGCTCTGATATCCTTTCGGATGCGTTGAATGGAAGGTCACATCGGTCACAGCAGCCGAGTTTCACGGTTTCATCCCCGAGCAATCTTCACGTTCCTTCGGCTGTTGTTTATTTATAAAAAAAAAAGAAAAAAACACACTTTGGGCAGTTTGCTTTCTAATTGTCATGTGAAAAAAACTTGCGTGTTTTTATGAGGCACACTTCGGCCGAATTTCACAGAACATTTCACTTTCAGATGCCGTATTGGAGCGTGTCCGCGAGAAAATTTGTTAAGCTCGAATTAGTTACTGCTCCATCGGAAAAAAAAAAAAAAGGTGGTATTTCAATCTCCTCTCAGCACAAGGGAAAAAAAATGGTCAAAAAATGAGAGGTGGGACGAGGAAGGGGAGGGTGTCAACAATCAATTTCGTGGTAAGTATCAAACAGAAGTAGTAGTCGCTAGCTCTTAAGGGTTACAAAGAGTAACCGACAATCCCCGCTTATGTTAACATCAACATTCCCGTTAATGTTAACATTGTGCGTAGCGCTTCTACTTTTCATAGTGATTCAAGGAGGGCAGAGACTATACTTCCCCGAACTCATTATAGTCCAAGAAAATTGAGAGCGTATCCATGAGAAGACGGGGCAGAGGGCGATAATGCTCAAATCACCGATCTGGCTCAAACTTGGCACAAATGCTATGTATCATGGGTTAACAAATGTGTGAAAATAATTGGTCAAATTATGTAATTCCGTGGGAGATATAGGGCTCCCCTGGGAAAACTCCCATTTTCTGTATTGCATAATTAATTAGCTAACTTTGCATTGCTGCTGTGACAAACCAAAAAGCTATCTGCAAATTTAGTCAAATGAGTGTGTTCTATCATCTATGAAAACTCAAGAACATTGAATTGTCTGAACCTTTTCATTTAATTTCTCCCCTTACCTCTCCCTTAAGTAACTAATTAACTCATGATATTTAGCATTTGCGTCACGTTTGAGCCAAATTGGTGACTTGAGTATTATCGCCCTGTCCGGTTCCACCTGGTTTTCTCGTGGACACGCACTAAACAACTTCGTTTTATCCAGCAACCAGGAACTATATGTATACTCTGTATTCTTCTATATAGCCAAAATATTCAGGACTACACACATCTAACATTTTGAAAAAGCACTTTATTATTGTATTTTATCCCTCGTTGAGTTACAATCAAAAACAAATTTCAGCTACGCCAGCGGACTAATGCAATAATACAATCGCAGTTTGTTACACAAATATCGATACACATATTGTAACAACATAAATTTCATAGTTTCTAATTTTAAATAGCATTAACACCTATAAGTTCACAAGGTTTGGCAAACTTGATTTCTATCTTCACCTTAATGAAAGGGTTGTTATCGTCTTTTTTTGCAGCCATAATCACTTTATGCTAGTTTTCACGCACTAACCGGAATACCCTAAAATCAACTATATGACATGCTGATTCTTACAATAAACAAGATAAACAAAGAGTGCCCTCTAATATTTATTTTTATTTCTAAGAAAGACAATACTTTCTAATACGATGGAGTTGGTTACAGTAACAAATTTAATAAACAATTTATGCAAAATTTCACAGCTCTTTGATGTATACAGTTACGAGGAGTTTGTCTGTTGGTATTTGTTTGTTTGTTTACTTGTTTTTTTTCTAGAGGGCATCAAAACGACATTGACCTGATAATGAATTCTATGCTAAGAACTTTTGCCACAAGAAAATCATCTACGCTTATACGATTAATAAAATAGCACTATAAATGTGATCATTAATTATTGCGTAAAAATCATTTAAACTAATGGCCTGCTTAGCCTTGTCTGACGGACTTTTTACAAACCAAGTGAGAGCACTCATGTACCGACAAATATTTTGCAAATGTGCTTTGGTAGTTGTTTACTTTCTGTTTTGAACGTAACTGTTTTCATTTGTTTCAATGGTCTGTAAGCAAAGCTCATCCAGTTCAGGTGAAGAATCTTGTTCCAACAAAGCTCCTTTTATCTATAAAATCAGTTGTGTATGTTGTATTTCTCGCTAAATCTACTCGTGTTAGGAAAAATAAAAACTTCAGCGAATTCTTCTGATATATATCCTTTAAGATAAGCAAAGCTCAGGACCTCGCTACAAATCTTTTTCTACATATTGCTTTGAAATCCTCAATTTTGTCTCTTGGTGAGACGTCAGCTTGTACAATTATTACCAGCGGAGGCCGATACACCTAAACTGCAGACAAAACAATTTAAATCAAGACGGTTATCGTATCGATTTTTCTCCTTAAGTAGGGAATTGTTATTTTTAACACAATCATTATTTGATATCAGTTTTTTTTTAATTTCATTCACCTGTCAATGTTTCCCTGGGCTGTTACGAGTCATGGCAGTTTTCAAAAAACTCAAGGTAATTGACGAGGATGGTTGTCAGATTGAAACATGTATTTCAAATTAAAATTATCGATGCCTTGTTAATATAGGGTTACAACTAATTTTCTGTTTTCTCGAGATACTTCCTCTAGATACTTCATTTATTAATTTTACCTTTGGTAAAATAAATGTCTCAATCTTTCCCAGGTGCATTGCAAACCAAAAGGATACCAAGCATTATTTTATCGACATTTGTTGTTGACTCCAATACAATTGAAATAACGTCTGAATATCATTAATCTCCACCAACTTCGACCTGAAGGAACAGGGTGTCATCCACAAGGTACTGCCTTGAAAAGAGTACCTCGTGAGTTATAAATTTATGAAAGCCCCATGTACGGTTTTCGTCTGATACAGGCCTTGAAAAGTGACCAGGGTTGGGTTGTCGTGGAGTAGATCGCGCAGTAACGTTCATTCGTTTCTCTGGGTCTTCTTGTTGATCAATCAATGTGAATTTTATCTTCTTCTGAAAGGGCCAAGATAATATGGCGTCATATTCACCTTTCATTACAGCAACATACACAGACAGGTGAGTGTTCTTCCCATCTTTAAAGCCATTAGGATTCATCTTTGCTTTTAATCTGTAGCCAAAAGCGCCTGCGTGAAATGGAGAACTGGCAATTCTTTCGTTTACTCCAGTCCTTGCTTCCCATAACCTTTCGCTGAAGTTCGATACCTTCCATAGAAATTTCCCTTTTTGTCCTGTTTCTGCCTGTTCTTGAGCCTTCATTGCTTTCCCATCAAACTGTAACTTAAGGGTCTCCAGTTTCTCCAACAGCTTTATTGTTGTCTCCTTTGTTTCCTTTAACTCCACTTCAGTGTAATTTAACTTATTTACTGCTTCTGTTAATTTGTTCTCCATAATATTCAACTTTAGTTGCGTCTTGTGCAATTGGCTTTGAGTGTCGACTAATTTAACTTCATTGTCGCGTAACTTGGCACATGCTAAATCAAGATGAGTCGAGGTGTCTTTAAGATGACCATCCAAATTCCTTCGTTGAGCCTACAACAGACATTGAGCTTTCTTATTCCCCCTAAGATTTTACTTAACTAATGTTATTTCTTTGACAGAAAAGCTAACAACGCATTGTCTCACGCTCCGACACTACACGTGGCTCGAAAATAACTGAATCCAAGAGTAAAATAATACAAAGATCAACAGCTTAAGGACTGTGCAATGCTTCCCGAGTTTTCCAACCTAATTCAAAACGCTTACGCACCTTTCGTACCAGTAGCGTGCTTCCTTCTCACCAAGCCAGCTGTTGGCGAAAAAGAAAGGGGGAAGCTGGCTCCCACACACAGTTACCGAAGGCGGAGGCGGCGGAGGCGCACGGAGGCGCACGGCGGCGGAAGCGCACACAGCTGCGGAGGCGGCGTGGCCGAGTGGTTAGGGTGCTGGACTTGTAATCCGGTGTCCCGGGTTCAAGTCCTCCACCCTGCCACTCACTGGATTTGTTCTCGGTTACCCCTAGTTCAACTCCTCGGCTGCGCTCTGTAAATAGCCCACTGGTCTGCCTCCTGCCAGTGGGGATTTTTAAGCTCTTACATTGTGGCTTACATTGTCTACATTGTGGCTGAAAAGCCCCTAAGGGGGAACTTCAATTAACGTATATTATTATTATTATTATCATTGTTATTATTATTATTATTATTATTGTTATTATAATTATTATTATTGTTATTATTATTATTATTACCGAACAGATCAATCACCTTTTTAACCAGCCTCTTGGTATATTTGGTATATTTGAAAAAAATTAAAAGAAGTTGTCGTAATATTTGAAATGCACTAACATACCTTGTTTTCACAGCCAATCTGTGCATAAGGGCATGGGAGTTCTGTTAGAGGGCATTCGTCTTTGATATGATTCTCAATCTGAAAGAAATCGACTTTGCTATTGAGATTCGTGGTTACACGCTAATGAATGTGCCTCACAAGAAATCATCTCGTGTACCTCTAAAACGAATGAGGAATGTTGTAATCAACAAGCAACTCATTGAATTATAAGAATGTCAATTAAAGTCTACAAAACACCCCGTATTTGTAAAGGCTTGAATGCTGTGAAAGTAATCATATTTAACGAACCCCTTGTTATATAATATTGCAAGACAACTAAGACTGCCATCTCGAAATTCTTACTGAACTCAATTTTACTGGCTCTGCACTAATCTTCGTCATTCTGTTTCAATCGCAAATATTGAGATGTAGAACATTCAAAACAATTTTTAAGACTGCCAATCAGAATTCTGATCTGGGGCTCGGATTTTTTCTATTACACTAAAAAAATTGTTTCATCTTTACATAATCAGAATTATAGCCTCCTTAATCTCTCCCGTAAATTTCTTTAAATAGTTATTATTTAAGAGCTGTTGATTTTGAAGTACATAATATTATAACTAGGGGAAGTGAAAATTTACCATTTCTCTGGGAAATGATTCTCCGCAGCTGTTGGGACAACTTACTGAGAACTTCCTGCACTGTTCAAAATGAGCCTGCATGTAAGAGATAAATGACCACCCATTACTATGCACTTTCGTTTGAGCCCGTTCAATCAGTATGGCTCTGTTTCTGAGATTTCACCCAACTACTCCCTCCCTTTGTGACAATTTTCATATATTCATGTAAATTTAATTCCAGTTGCCAAGATTTCTTCATAGTTTTTACTCAAATAACAAATAGATGAATAAATAAGCAGATAAAAAAGCAAAACAAGACACAACTGCGCGTCAGCTCTACGTTTTCGCACTGTTAGTAAAGCAAGAGGAAGTTCCCTTCCTGAGGAGTAATAGCAGTGAATAATTATTATTGATAAAAATAAAGTAATTATAGATTCAGGGTTAACATTTGGTCAAAGCAGACTTGGCTCAACCGTCAAAGCAAGCTAGAAACGTTGTAAGCTATTTCTTGATTGAGACTACTTGAAAGCACAAAGAAAGAAAATGAATTTGTACTGTTATAGGGCGTTTGATGGGAGAAGACTCTTTAGACAATCCGTGCAAAAATGAAAAAAAAGGAAATGAAATTTTTGTGGCAAGGCGCAACATCCAAATTGTCTCTATTTTTGCACACAACTAGCCCCTTGAAGGACAAGAAAACTCCCACTGTTTTTTTTGCCATCAAGTATGTTTTTAATTTTCGAAAACACGAACTTTTCGCTTTCACCGCGGACTAGAATCGATGGATTGGGTCATAATAGGTCGAAAATTGAGCACTTTCGCATGCTTCCTCTTCTGTATAAAGTAGGTTTAGTAGGAGTTTGTTGTTTAGTAGGAATTTGTTATTTTGCCCTTTCGCAGGCCGGGACCGAACACACGAGACGAAATATCGAACAGTATTATTTGCTTTTAACTTCTACAGTGTTTTAATTCCTTCTTCTGTGTTTATACCGAATAACATGTATGGGTTCCGAGGGTTTCGGAGGTACCGCGGTCTGCTGATTCCCAGCCGAAAATACTCTCCAATCACCGCAGTGTCTGTTCCCTTTTCTTTTTATAGGCAAGGCTGAATTAAATTTGCAAAACTTAATTGACCGAGAAAGGGTCAACGTAGATTGTTTTAACTGTCACTGCTCTTATTAGTAAATCATTATTTCGGCGCTGAAGACTTCGTCTTTCTAATGGACTTCAACTTGTTTGTTCGGATAAAAACACACCTGCGACACTGTGCGACACTGAATTCACGACTAACAGCAGCTACTATACCAACAGGCTGAGCTACCAAATAGCGCTGAGGGGTCCATGGCAGAATATCTCTGCAACTGCATTGTGTTTCACCTTGAATGGTGAAAGACAATGTTATGTAAAAGAAGTAGGTATATTTATGTTATTTAATTCTGAATAAGCTCTCCTATTCGATCCTATTCGAAGGCAGAATGCCACTTAGCCTTTTGGACATGCAATCAACATATTACGTAATGTTGTCTTCAGTGAATTATTTAGAAGAGTTTACAACGTTGCGAGAAAACATTTGCCCAAACTAATTTCCACGTCATTGTAAACGTCATTACTTCGGAAACTTTCATATGTAGCTTGATGGAATTCTGAAAAACTTTTTTGTAACTGAAAAGAGCACTTTTTTCATGTGGCTCAAAGCTACTAACAGTTGTACAAAACCTACATTTTACAAAAGAGGAAGAGACTGTGAAAGAGCACACGTTGGTTAGACTTCCCTTGACTCAATATCTAAGTTTTTGACCTGTAATGACCCGATCTATCGATTGTAGAGGGTACAAGGGAAAATTTCATTTTTCTCAAACACAAAATCACATTTGAGGGAGAAAATACCCAGCGTTTCTTGTCTTACTAGGGACTACTTGTATGCAAAAATAGAGACACAATTTGAGTTTTGCGCCTTGCTACAAAAAATTCATTTTCGTTTGATTTTTGCACGGGTGTCCTCTCAAGACTTACCTGCATGTTGTCGTTTGGGTGTGGCTCTCCACAATGTTCACAGTTAATGATCCTCCACTGACACGCGAATGCCAGGTGCATCTCGAGATCTTTTCTTCGCACCTTTAATTGACACTTTTCGTTTGTGCAACTTACAAACCTGAAACGACAGGACTCCATGTGAACCTGTTAAACAAGCAAAACACCCAGGCTTGATTATTCAGTTCCCGTTTATTTCGATTCCAATCCTACATTTAGAAAGATAGTATCATTCCAGTTATATCACCC